CTTTTCTAAGGTTAACGCAGGACAGAGCTGGAAAATAGTTGGAGGATCCAGAAAATGGCTAGTTTACATGCTCTATGTCTTTATTCTTACCATCTGCACAAACACTTACTCTGCTATAGGGATGGATGAATTTTCTTGATGCCAGCATAAGTATTTCTTTTTTATGTTATGCAAGGAGTTGACCACTACCTTCTGACACAATGTTTTTGCCTTGCCGCACAATGGCAGACAGAAAGAACTGGGTGTAATTCAATCCAAACAGCTACTGACTGGCCTTGGCAGCATGCAGGTGTACACATGAAAAACTTTATCCTGCTCTGCCTGGCTAGCCGGCTTCATAATCCTAATGTCCAAGAAAGTACACTGGCATAATGTAATACTCCTCCAGCTCTAAAGACGATCTCAGCCTGTTTGCAAAACGCATTCAGCTCCAGAGCGCTACAAGCAAAAGGAGATGCATGAGCAGCATCTTTAACATGATACGAATGGAGAATGAACACACTCACTTCTAATAATAATAATTTCCTGTGTTTCTGATGTTCGGATGATGAACACTGTTCCAGAAGTAGCCAAAATGGCATCACTGGCATCTTGCACTCCAACACCATATGTAAAGAGCAAGGCATCCAAAAGCCTGAGGGAACCTTAAGGTTTACAAAAGAAAAAAAAAAGAGGGAAATATTGGGCTGTAAAGGTTTAGTTCAATAAAGTGTGAACACATGACATGGTGACTGACCCCATCCTTGCTTTGATTTCAGTAAATCCAACCTCAGTTGCTGAACAGAAGGAGGATGCTACAGATATAACCACAATGGGATCCCAGTTGTTTTCAACATGTGAGTCTTATGGCTTCTTAAATAATTTCTGGTCAATTTGGCTGATAGTATCTGGCCCTCTTCATAAAGGCTGCATATTCATGCAAGCAAAAAGGAATTGTTGTTTTGTACTTAATTTAGCATCCACATGCTCTTTTCTCAGATGTATTTGCTCCCTTACTGGCTGAGTGTCTACCCTGTCACATTCTTAACTATATAATAAAGAAGGGGCATTTCTGAATGTGTGTATGATTTCATAGAATCAGAGATGGAAGAGACCACAAGGGCTGTCCAGTCCAACGCCCTGACATGCAGGAACTCAAAATCAAAGCATACCGAATAGATGGCCATCCAGCCTCTATTTAAAAACCTCCAAAGAGGGAGACTCTACCGCTCTCCAAGGCAGTGTGTTCCAGTGTTGAACAGCTCTCTATTTCATACATTTCATGCACTGGCAGGAAGTTCATCCTAATGTTTAGCTGGCTTTCCCTGTAGCTTGAATCCATTGCTTCATGCCCTAGGATATTATCGCATTTAAAATAATGCAACGTATCCAGGCTTCTGTTTTTGAAAAGTGGCCAGATAAGTGCAACTCAAACCCAGGTTGTGTTGCAATCACCCAACGACAACAGCAATTTAAGTGTGATAATACCCGGTAGTAACTCAAAATGCAACTTTAAATGCGACAATCTCCCTAGTCCCTGAAGGATCAGAAAATGGAGAAAAATCCATTAGGAAAGGGTCAAGTACTCCTTGTGCTGTATCTCCACTCTACCTTTCCAAAGCTGCTTTTCAGTTTTTAACAAGTCTCCATTTCATGCATTTGTGTGACACCTTGCTCTTAACGCTTTTCCCTCAGAGTGATACTTGTGACTGTTTCAGGAAGAATGAAGGGATTTTGGAAAGAGCAAATTTCCTGCGCTATGCCCATGTATTCCTCTAGCCCCACTACTGTTGATGGTCACATATGTTTGGCAAGTTTATGAAACAGTACAAAAGCCTGCGAAACCTGTTTGATGAGAGGCAAAAGTGGAAACTGTCCTTACCATTAATTGCAATAACTTTTTCAAACATGTGTACAGTTAGATTTTCCTATCCATGGATTCTTTATCTATGGATTCAAGCATCCATGGCTTGATGATATTAAAAATATATATACATTCCAAAAAGCAAATCTTGATTTTGCCATTTTATATAAGGGACACTATTTTACTATGTCATTGTATTTAATGGGACTTGAACATCCACTGATTTTGATATCCATGGAAGGTCCTGGAACCAAACCACAGTGGATAACAAGGGCCCACTGTAATAAGAACAAAGGAGTCCTATTCTCCTTCTGGAAGTTATGCTGAGAATAGAAGTGGCACTTCCTTTGGCTGATGAAAAAGGCATCTATCCTTCATTTATGTAGGTATTTGTTCCTCGATTCGCAGCCCATTATGGCTTCCAGGCAATGTATAAAAACAGGCAGAACAAGTAAAAAATACTGTATTTGTAAAGAGTAAAGAAAACTTTTAAAGACTAGTTTTGAAAATCATAGCCAATGAAAACCATGAGAATAGCTACCTTAGTTTTAAAGATCAAGTTCTTCTAACCCAGTTTTTCTTTTCCATATCCTCAAGTATATCTCCACTGCACAATTAAAGCAGTTTGACATCATTTTAACTGCCATGACTCTATCCAACAGAATCCTAGGATTTGTAGTTTGCCGAAGTACCAGGGTTCTCTTGGCAGACCAGGCTGCATTTTTCACTAAAGTACAAATCCCAGGATAGAGTCATGACAGCCAAAGTGATGTAAAACTGCTTTAATTTTGCAGTGTGGATACACCCCTCATTTTCTATGGCAGAGGGATTGGCAGATGCAAGTACTGAGCTGAGCTTTCTGAACTTTCTACAAGAGGTTGTATCAACAAATGGTATGTGGCTAAGAACATCTTTGGGCTGGAATCCTTTAATAATAATATTGATCTCAGTTCTCGGTGAAGCTTGGAAAGTTGACTGTTTTGAACTACAATGCTCAGTGTCTCCTAGCCAGTATGGCCAGCATGCCAGTGCTTATGTAGCCAAAAGGCACCATTGAGGTATAAGAGGGAGGTAGCAGAAGGCCTGAAAGAACTCCCAAGAAGCCAAAAGAACAAAAATCTGTATGGGGAATGAAGATTTCAGGTTGATGGAAATCTCACCCCCCATTTGGCCAATATGCCAATTGAGTGCATACCTGGGTGCAGACAGCCAGAGCACCATTATTATACTTGTGTAATGGGTAAAGTCTCTATTTGGCCGCAAAAGTCAGAATGTTTGTTTTCCCTGGAGAATTTTGGCTCATTTCTACATGTTTAATATTCTCTCCTTGGCTTGCAGTAGAAATGATGACTACAGTTGAAGTGACAAGTACAGCTGAAATTACAAATGCAGTTGAAGCCTCAACCACTGCCATTATCAGCACCAGTAATATGGAATCCACAAATCCTGGAGGTGAGCACTCAAACCAAGCTCATGAGATTGGGACAATCTGGGTGAGAAAGACTGGGAGAGATAGAACCTACAAAAGAGCCCAGGTATGTCCATCTCAACTGAACAGCAGCTCCTCAGATATTGTGTCTCTGCATTGTCTTTTCCAGGAGTTACCTCAGCTAAACTGCCACCTTTTGACCAGGAGAGGAGAACAGGTATATTGAAGGCTGCAAAAGAAGGAGGGAAAAACTTGGCTTTTGGGATTTGTTTTCCTTAAAGAAATCTGTTGTGCCATTTTGTATCTCTAGAGCACAGAAGAGGAAAGTCCCCCCCCCCCAATATTGCAATATTTTTCTGCAGCGTGTCTCTGGTACTACAGAAAGAATCTTTCTCCCTTCAATGCATATTCCATTTCTCTATAATTAGGTAAACACCTATGGATATTGAGAACCAGCATGATGTTGCACTAGGACACTGGGAGACCAAGTTTTAAATCCCTGCTCAGCTATGGAATCCATTGGGCAAGTCACAGTCTCTGAGTCTTAAAGGAAGGCAACAGCAAACCAACTCTGAATATATCTTGCCAAGAAAACTCTATAATAGGATTGTCATAAGTTGCAGCTGACTTGAAGGCTTGTAATAACAAAAAACAAATGTCATTCATTAAAAAACATATGGCATTTTGCAAAGTCTTTTCTACAGAATCAGCACCATACACAATTTTTTGTTTATTGTGATAGACAGGGATTAAATGCTGGAGACCCATCCTGGATCTAGCCTTGTAAACCTGTTGCAGGAGGACATCAAGACGTTGCCTTCTGCAGTCAGGCCATTCTAAGCCTGTCTTTCTCAATAATGTGTCCTTCTGATACATTGAACTTCAACTCCTATCACTCCCAGCCTTCCTTGAAAACAGAGCTTGGAAACAACAGAATCCCCTAGCCAGGATGCCTAATGACTGTGCTGGCTGGAGATTTCTGGGAACTGTAGTCCAACAAATAATGCTACCAAGGACTTTATCGCATGGGGAAAATTGGAAGTTTAAATGGTGATTACCCTGTGAAAATTTCACATTCGCAATTAAGATTTTTACACAACGTCGCAATTAAAGTGCCATTATCCCAGGAATAGCCAATGAAAATCGAGCATTCACAAGAAAGGTTTTCATGTGACGTCATGATTAAAGCATCATTATCTCAGGAATAACCAGGCAATAATCAACAACAAATCATTCACAGGAAAATCCTTTGAATGATTTGTTGCTGTTTATTGCCTGGTTATTACCTGGTTATTCCTGGGATAATGATTCTTTAATCACGCTGTGTGTGAAAATCTTAATCGTGATCTTAATCATGATTGCACAATTTTCATGGGATAATTGCCATTTAAACTCCCAATTCCCCCCCCCCCATGCGATAAAGTCCCAAGTTCTGCTTGAAATGATCTGAGATGTTAAAGGGATCTTTAATGTACTTTATCTCATTGATGCAGGGAGCATTCAGAGCATTATAGCATTCAGAAAGATCACTTGTTTTAACATTAAAAAAACATAAAATGAATCCATTAACAGCTTTGAGTCTAATTGGCAAAAGGAACTCTCTAGCATAAGCTTTTCTGGACACAGTACTTCATCAGATGCAAGGTCCATTGCATTTAATAAAGTGGACCATGTCCATTAATGCTTCTGATATAAATGTCTTCTTCCCAGTCACCAAGTGGGTTTCCATGATTGAGAGGGGATTTGAACCCTGGTCTCCTGGAGTTCTATTCCAGTACTTAAACCATTAAACCACACTGGCTCACAATTATTTTCTTTATGTATATATAATTTCTTTATGTCTAGATATTAACAAATGCCCATACCTAAGAGGCTAATTATATATGCAATGTTTGGAACTGGTCCTGTAATTTGTACCAGGAGGATCAGATCTGAAATTCCCATGATGGCAAAATGTGTGTATTTTTAAGTCTATCTAGTGTTCTTTCTCTTTTCACAGATGTTGAAAAGATAAGTTACAATGATGACTTTTTCCGTTATGGTGAGTCCTAAGACGAAGAAAGTGACACTTAGGGGAGGGTTTTTTTTAAAAATGGTTTTTATTGAGACTCTGAAGGGTTTTGAATGAAGGATGCCTGCTCATGGTATTTTTCATTCTTGCTGTCTTTCTTTTTGGGAAAGATGTTTTGCAGGTTTTGGGATGCCCAAAAGCCCTACACAACCTTGACTGGAGGAGATCATGGCACAAAAGAAATAAATATGGGCACACAGTGTGAGAAACACTGGGTATATCAAATGCCTTTCACTTAAAAAATGGCTCTTTTTCCAGACATTGCTTATTTACCAGCATTAGCTCATCTTAACATACCATTTGATGTTTGTACTAAATATCTATTTTTTCTCCTTCCTGTTGCAGATTATTACTCTCTGCGCAAATGGGGTTTAGTAGCTGCTGCCATCCTGTTCATCCTTGGCATTCTCATTCTCACCTGTAAGAATGGAAGACTAGCATGAATGGATCTGATTTAAGCTGTGTTGCTAATGGGGGTGGGAACAGTATAAACTGATGTTATTTATTCATTTATTTATTTAATATCCCACCCTTCTCTCAACATGGAATTAGAGCGGCTTACAACAGGGCTAAAACAAGGCTAAAAATCTCTATAAAGACTGAAACACAATTAGCAGTAAAAAGAATACGTTTAGTTTTCAAATCAAAACCAATTTATTACGGCAAACAGCCAGCACATAAAGATAACATATAAAAACATATATTTAGTTTTAAAAGGTGTAACATCATTTAAAAGCCTAATGTTAAGGATAAAATTACAGTACACTACACATACGCACTACAGAAAGACACCCTGCAACCATTTAATCATCAAATACCTGTTTAAAATAAAAATGGTCTTTGCTTGCTGGCAAAAGGAGAGCAGAAAGAGGGCTAGCTTAAGCCTCATTCCCACTATGTTTTCAACCAGTTTACAAATTGGTTTGAAGCAGTTTAAATGACCCTAGTCCCACACTTGAATTGAATCGCTGAAGTGGTTTGGAGATGCCCCCCCCCTGCACTAGACCTTTTTGACACTGCTTTTTTCCATGTCTTTTTCGATAAATGAATTCCACACAAGTATGAACCAGATGCGGATCAGAATCGATTTAAATTTGCCCTTCAGCCAGCTGAAACAGGTCCATTTTGAATCAATTCATTCATCAATGTGAACTACAAGTGGGTTATTTCACAGCAAGAAAATACGATCGGGGCAAACGTAGTCTCCGCTGTCAAACCGATCCATCGATTCGGATCACAAACTGATTCATTTGTAAGTGGGAATCAGGCCCTAGTCTCTTGTATAGTTAAGGATTTCTTCCATATGAGCCACCCGGCATTTTAAAGGGCCCTTTCACACTACAAATTTATAGTACTATGATTGCACTTTAACTGGTATGGCAACATCCTGCAGAATTCTAGGATTTGCATTTGTATTTTAAGGATTGCAATTTACCATTCTCAACCAGGGAGCTCTCATGCTTCTAACCAGACTACAAATCCCAGGATTCTATAGAATGCAGCCATGGCAATTAAACTGAAATAATACATAATGCCATTGATGCATGTATATAATGCTTTAATGATGGGTAACATTACCATAGGAGCCAGTGTGGTGTAGTGGTTTGAGAGTTGGCTTATGACTCTGGAGATCAAGGTTCAACTCCCCTTTTGGCCATTGAAACCCATGGATGACCTTGGGCAAGTCACAAACTCTCACCCACAGAAAACCCCATGATAGGTTCTCCTTAGGGTCACCATAATAAGGGTCTCCTTGAATGCACACAACAACAACATTAACCATGGCTTGTATTTGCACTGGTTCAGCTCCCCAAATATTCAGAGGAGAATTTGTGTGGCTTAATAATCAGATCATGGAAAAGTACCATTTTGTATTACAGCTCCCAGAATCACAGAGCCAGCATGGCTAGCAGACGTTTCTGTCTACAAAATAATATTTCCAGGCTGTGTACTCTATTGAAAAAACTCACTCCTCGAGAAGGCAGTTTTGGGACTCCTCAAGCAGATGTGCTTGTCACTTTGCAAGCATTATGTTATGCTTGATGAAGATCTAAGACCTAAGGCTACCAAACAGTTGCAAAACCACTTCAAATCATCATTCAAAAACTTGCCTTTTGATCAGCATGAAGCAATAATTCAGCTATTTAGATGCAATGTTTTAACTGTCATAAAGCATTCTACCTGTACAGGGCCCTAAATATGTTTTTCCTCTTTAGATTTGAAGCAGAATATTGTTCATTCTACTTACTGTTAATTTTTTTTATTATTATTTGTACAACACTAATTTTAATTGATAGGCACAATATGAAATATGTGGGAATCAATAAAAGTGTAATTAAAATCACATCTGCTTGAGGTGTCCTCCAGGTATTGAGAATTAAATCTTTAACTTTAAAGAAACACAAAACAAAAACAAACCAACGGCTAGGTTTTTTGGATCGCTGTTTTTCAACCTTTGGCCTTCCAGATGGTTGGATTCAGAGCCACATTTTGCCCAGTCATTTTGGATGACATATTAGGAATTACCACCTGAGCACTGGTTACACTTGCCACATGCTGCTTGAAATACAAGATTCTCCTAATGCACTTTGCACATAATCTAGGACCCTTTCACATTGCACAGATATATTACTATGATTACACTTTAACTGCCATAGTTCCGTCCTATCAAATCCTAGGATCTGCAGAATATAGCAGGGCATTATAGCAGTAGTGCCTCACCAAGCCACAAACCCCAAGATCCCATAGCATGTTTTTACGACTTTGATTGAGAGTTCCTGCATGGCAGGGGGGTTGGACTGGATGGCCCTTGTGGTCTCTTCCAACTCTATGATCTATTGCCTTCTCAGTGGCTGCTCCCATCCTTTGGAACTCCCTAACACAAGAGGCTAGGCTGGCCCCCTCCCAGATCTCCTTTGCCAGAAGGCTTTTAATATGTAACTCCACCCAGGGAAGCTTTGTATTGGGGGTGTTTGCTTTTGTATGTTTTTAATGGTTTAATGTTTTAACCTAGGATGTTTTTAATGATTTTACCTTATTATATTAATGTGATATTTTATAATGTTTTAATAATTGTACTGTTTCTTTTTGTACTGCTTTTAAAATGTACTGTTGTTTTTTGTGTGATCCACCTGGGATCCAATTTAGGAGAAAGGGGACATATAAGATAGATAGATACTGTGTTTCCCCGAATAAGACACTGTCTTATATTTATTTTTCCTCAAAAAGACACACTATGTCTTATTTTCAGGGGATGTCTTATTTTTTTATTAAGTATTGGTGCTGGGGGAGAGGCACCCACAGTGCTGAGCCCAGTGCCCGACTTTTCCTGCATCCACCCTGACGCCCCATGGCATGTGCATCAGGGCTCCCTCTTGGCGCAGTGTGCATACACACTGTGCCAAAAGGGTGCAAACGAGCCACCATGGTGGCTCAAAGGGCAGCTTTTGCCACCCCAAAAGGAGCAGTATTTTGCCGCACTTTTGGGGGTGGCAAAAAGGAGGATTGGGCCCCGATCTGCCACTCCCAGGGATGACTCAGAAAAGCCGCCCCTTCTTGGTTGTCTGCATCAGCCCTATGTCTTATTTTCAGGGTATGGCTTATATTGCACAAATGCTTAGAAATCCTGCTACAGCTTATTTTATGGGTATATCTTATTTTCAGGGAAACACGACAGATAGACAGAAAGATAGATCTGCAATTATGTAGGAGCATGGGGAACCATCTGTAAGTAATAGTCAAAGGGCCTCTACAGACCGGCCCAAAGGGGTGTCCCAACTCCATGCTGAGGACATCGTGATGCCGCACGCCATTACACACGGCGCACAACATCAAGACGTCCTTTCAGTGCAGCGTCCTGATGCTCTGCACCAGAAGGGGTACTAAAGAGCCATGTGGCTACTCTTAGGGCACCCTTTTGCCGGCTCTGAAAGGAGCGGCATTTTGCCACTCTTTTCTGGGCCAGCAAATGGGAGAATCATGGCCGCTGTATGTGGTAGCAGCGGCCCCAATCCTCTGCTTCCCAGGGTCACACAGGGACACCCATCTGCATCCCCCCCAAAGTGTTGTTAATTGTAGGGAGAAAGTCCAACATTCATGCTGAGCATTCAAGCCAAAGTAGTTTTAAAAAAGATGCAATGGTTTTCATAGAATCATAGAGTTGGAAGAGACCACAAGGGCCATCCAGTCCAACCCCCTGCCATGCAGGAACTCCCAATCAAAGCATCCCCAACAGATGACCATCCAGCCTCTGCTTAAAGACCTCCAAGGAAGGAGACTCCACTACTCTCTGAGGGAGTGTGTTCCACTGTCGAACAGCCCTTACTGTCAGGAAGTTCCTCCTAATGTTCAGGTGGAATCTCTTTTCCTGGAGCTTACATCCATTGTTTCGGGTCCTAGTCTTTGGAGCAGCAGAAAACAAGCTTGTTCCCTCCTCAATATGACTGTTTTTTCTTCCACTGTTGCTTTCAGCAGCTGGCACTGAGTGGCATGCTGCCCTGATCAGTACCCAGAGGTTGAGTATCACTATCACATAAGAATTGCCAGGTATCCTTTATTATAAGGGACACTCCTTTTTTCAATTATTAGAAAGTTTGTTCCTCATAGGGAAGTTTGTTCCTTATAGGGCTGACAGCTGTGCCTTGTTATAAATTTTTTCCATTCCTCAGAGAACAGGCCTTATGACAAGGCACAGTTGTCAGCTCTATTAGGAGAAAACTTTCTAATACTTG